TTATGATTACGGCATCCCTTTTCATAGTTCGAATTGTGAGATTTGGCAATTGATCTGAACATTTGGGACTTAGTAACTAAATTCTAAATTGTTTAGACACACATGTGAGCTATCTAAGGCAAAAGTGTATGAGCTTAAAAAGCTTAGATAAAGGCTTATCAAAGCAGTAGGTATTAGAAATATGAACTTAAGGAATTCAATAAGCATTGTTTTCTAGAAGTTCAATTGTTTTCTGAATACATGTCAAAACTAGTGGGAGCATAAGTGTTATGCTGGTAAGAAAATAATCATAATGTTAGTGGGAGCATGATTATTATGGTAAGTATTGCAAGTTAGCAATATTAATTATAGAAAACAAAGATTCACGTTGCAAAGTTGCAAGTGTTGAAAAGTTGTTTTGCTATAATTAAGGGAGAGAATATTATACTTCGTTTCAAAATTATAAAGCTTAGATCGAGAAACGTTAATAAATATAGTCAAGGATACATAGTGCATTCTCAAAATTCGATTATGATTACGGCATCCCTCTTCATAGTTCGAATTGTGGGACAAGGCACATAAAATATTATGGCAGAAGGCTGATAAAGTATCACGTCTTTATGTGAGACATTATGCATCGTGTCCAATACGCTTCGGGTATAGGATCGATTGCATATGCTATAATGTTTGACCATTCTAAATTTTCCAAATGCCTAGGGCATTAAGAGGGAAAAAGGACTAGAATCGGTTTTGACTAAAATAATTAAACAACTATCAAAGGACGATCTGAGGTTCACTGAGGATTTGTCGCTTGTGAGTAGTTGGAAGTATAGTACTAGATGGACTATATTGACATTATTATGAATAGATAAGATTCTATTAAGAATGAGTTGTCATATGGCAAATATGGAAATGTTTCCATTAATAGGAGTTGGATATTAAGAAATATGTCTAGATTAGAAACTTTTATGCGAGAAGAATGTTCAAAGGAATGTATTTTGAATGTGAGACTTCACGTCTATGGAATTGTCTTGTAACAATTTCCGATAGAATACCTTGTAATTTCATTAGCCGGGTCTTGGTGACTTTTGTGCTATGACATTACGAAAGAATCATTGCATAAAATGTTAGAATCTGACATATTCTAAAAGTGGCAAGAATTTGATATTCTTATACTAATAATAAGGATTGGGGATTATGAAATGAGTTTCACTGGAAAAGTTTTCAAAGTATGGACCATAGGAAACCAAAGTGTGTATGCTTGGAGCATGGGAAAATTGTGGTTATAATTCGAGTAATAAGTTGATTTTCTGAAACAGTAAGCAATGAATAATGAGTAATCAATATGGTGTTTAAATATTATTATTGCATTTCATTTTGCATGTTTTGACTTCCAGAATAACTAGGTTATTCGAACCTCCACAGTCGGTCATCCGTTGGAAGTAGGTATGAAGGAAGACTGTCATGAATCTGTCTGTAGATTGTCTAAAGTGTTTAGACATAGCACAAGTTTGCTGCAGAGTTCATGAGTGCTTTGATAAGATTCAAGTATTGGATTAAACACACGCTCACTTGAATCACTTCATGCTTTTATCACGAGTGATTGGTGAGACGATAACATTGTATATTCTTGAAACTGAGATGTGTGAGTTGTTATTTGTTGGTCGGTTGCACATTGATGATAAGTAAACACACCAGTAACTTGGTGTTATAAAACTTATTGTTGTGTGTGATTCGATTAGTAGGTGCAAGCAAGCATTTGAGTCAAAGTTTATCCATTCCTTTTACCCAAGGTAGGATAAAAGCGATATCTGTGGGCCCCTCGATGATTTAATGATGACAAAGGAAAGTGCTCGGCCGGGCCAGGACTGATTTGATTTGTTCAATTAGTCGGTCGTCATAAATCGGAAATCGGGAAACGACACATAGACTGAGAGAATGATTTCAATCCATGTCTCATATCTATACGATATCTTATAGAATGGAGGAATATATGATCCCTTATCTAAAGGACACGCGTATCTGATAAGATCAGAGTTGACAGCGGCTTTTGAAAGCTACGATTGTTGATCAGGTTCTGAAGTTATGCAAAATAGTTATTAGACTTATCCAAGTGGGAGACTGTTGGATTAGTGTCTAAGTCCATAACTATTTTGGTATGTACTTGACCCGATTATGAGCATGGTCCTTTTGGGTTGCCTTCACCATAGCAATATGTAGGATGAATTAAGGAGAGAAAGGTTTAATTATGATTTATTAATATATTATAAGAATAATATATTAAAGGAGAAATCATAATGTTTAATTGATATTAGTCAAGAATTAATTAAGAATTAATTTTGTGGCTAAAAGAGATTAATTAAACTTAAGGGACTTGTTGTGTAATTATAAGATAATTATATAATTGGGCTATGGATCACCTTGGAATAATAGGTTGGACGAATTCTAAGGGGAAGCCCTTTAGAAATCGCCCAAGGCATGTTCCAGAAGGGGTCCATGGGCTGCTTAGGGCTTAAGCAGTCAGATTAGGGTTTCCTAGTTGCAAACCCTAATAGCCTACATGTATATATAGGACCGCTATGCCCCAAAAACGTGGCTTAAGAGTTCCTCTAGGGTTTCCACCCGTTTTGGTGCATCCTCTCTCCTCCCTCTTCATCCAAGTTGCTTAGTGGTGTTTGTGACTCCATTAGAGGTTCAATACTTGAGGCACTAAGTTTTTCTGAAGCCAATCAAAGCAAGGATTGATTGTTATTGCTATATAACAATCAAAGGTAATTACTAAACCCTTATTTCAGTTTTTATTTGATAGATCTAGGGTTTGTAAGTCTTGGATTCATTGCATGTACAATAGAGAAACCTAAATCCAAGCATTAGGGTTTGTATTAGCACATAGGATTGTTCTTATGCATAAAATCCATCAGAATTATCCACAACAGAAGTTTAATTTGAAAAATATAAATAAACTAAGTTATAATTTCAAAAATATAAATAAACTAAGTTATAGCCCTCTGGAAACCACGATTATAAAAATAATTAATTTTTTCTAGTAAACTCATAATTATTAATCAATTATTTTCAAAAAATTATTAATTAAACATGATGTTGTAGGATTTTCAATATATAAATACAATTAATTATCGGCAATTATAACCGAAACCTATTCAAGAAGAATTTAAATTTCTTCTAAAAATCAGGAATCAAATAAATAATTGTCTAACTTTTTGTCAATATCAATACTTTTTAAAAAATAAAAAATAATGTGTCATTTTTATAGAGATTTTGAAAAGAAAATGTATGTTATGAAAAAATGATTCTTTTATATAGGAAGATTATAAGTGGTACTAATAATTATTCTTTTATTAATATAGGAAGATTAATAAGAAGATATTAACAGAATTTATCTCCTAAAATATAATTAGAAAATAACTTAGAATTTAGTTAATTACCTCCATTGTAATAAATTTTGAATGCTTTACTATAAAATATGAATTAAAAATTACTATTAATATGAAAATTGTTCTAAACAAACAACTCATTTTTATTTTTATTAAAACCAATCCCCTGTCGCCGCAACTTTGCAATTTTGTTTTATTCTTGGTGCTTATATGATTACTAATTTGTTTTAATCCATCTTCAAAAGTGTAAATTTTGTTTTATTATGCGTAACTTTATGCTATAACAAAGAATTAATTAAAGCATCTTGTTGTTTAAGGCTGTATTACTCTTAAAATTAAATGTAAGAAATAACACCATACTTTTATTTATTTAAGTTTTGGTGACGATTTTTCTTTCAAGAAAAAACCATGAACTTAAAATTTTGCATATAGTTCAAATTTGAGCTAGAGAAGTGTTATAAATTGACCGACTAATCTACCCAAATTGAATAAGGTTTTGTTTAAGCAGTTAATATCAATCGGTTTCGGTTTAACCCAATGTCTGAAGCCTTATATATGTGGTTTGGTTTTCGTTGCTATTTCTACCATTTTGTTTAATTGAATACACCAATTAAGGATATACCGTTTTTAATTTTAAATTTTTGTTATTAAGCAAAAAACAATTTTAGTGAAACTACTATTTAATCGACTAATTTATTGTGTGTTATTTGTGTATGTAGATTAATTACTATATCTTTGTTTTTTCATCTACGTTTAGTTTAATTTGATAATCATGTAATACATATGTATTAACCGATTAAAACTGTATATAAAGAAGTTAAACACAATTAAAAAGCATATTGAGTTCTATTATGCAGTTAAAGCTACAATAAAATTTAACAATATATTGTAATTGTATTATCAGTTAAAAAGTTAAAGAATATTATTAAGCGTATTAGTTAAAACGTAAGTTAAATAGTTGTGATGGTTTTAGAATGTGGTTAAAGAAATTTTTTTTTGAACTATATTAAAAATAAAAAAATAACATCTGTAAAGGACACAAATTTAAATTTAGATTTAAAGCTAACACCTATCTTTAATAAAATATAAATTTAGATTTAGATTTAAAGCTAGCTAACACCTTTTTATCAAAGCCTTTTACAAAAAAGGAAAAAAAAACATAAAAAAGAAAGAAGAATGAGAGAAAGAAAAGGGGTAGAAAAAGAAAAAGAAAACTTATCACATTCATTGATGTCATGAATGTTCAAAGTCACTAGCACATTTTTTTTTAACAGCCACTAGCACATTCATTAATGTCTTTAAAACAGAAACCCACAGCTCAATATTATTGGGATCAAGAATGATACATGAATGTTTGTGATCATTCTTCTGTTTTAAAAATGAGCATATAATTCGGAAATAGATCGAGCTAAGAAATATATACAAAACAAGGTTATGGGCAAGTTGAGTTTGGCGGAACAAATAATTGATTTTCTTGAATAATGATTAACTCATACTATAGGAAACTAGGCACTAAAGTGTGAACTTTATTTTAGATGCTTTGAAAACCAACACAAACCTCTAATTATTAAGCAACAGGCTTCACTTCTTCTATAGGACATACAAATTAATTGCAACAATCCATCATTAAAACTTATTGTCAAACCAGAAGACACCCTTGGCCTCTTCATTATCATCTGATTCAACATATACGCATTCTTTTGCTTCTCTATACAAGGCTTTCAGAACAGGCGTTTCATCAAACTTGTAATAATCTTTCAATATAGGCCTGATTGCTTTTGTGGCCTCCATCGCATGATAATGAGGTATTTTCGGGAATAAATGATGGATGACATGTGTATTAGCGATGTTGTGGCCTAACCTATTCATGATCCCATAGTCTCTATCAACTGTCGCAAGGGCTCCCCTCAACCAATCCCATTCTGTTGAATCATAGTGGGGCAAAGAAGGGTGCGTATGTTGCAAGTATGTAACAGTAACAAGTGAACTATTGAGAATGAGCAGTGGCGCAACATAAATACAAAAGACCCAGGTGAATCCTTTGTTCATTGCTAGAAGGTAGAGTAGGTAAGTGACAACAAGGATCCCAGCATCAGAAACAAAGATCTGAGCACGTTCATTTTTGGAGTAAATAGGGCTGTTTGGGTCAAAGTGGCATGCAAACCTATCATATTTCCTGCCAGCATAATTAAAGATCAGGTACAAAGCCAAGCCTAGGGCGTGGTTGAACAGGAGATGGAGGATTCGGCCAAGTGGGTTGTTTAGGTAGAGAAGTAATGAAGGGAGATTGGATTTTAGTTTGGGGACGAAGACTTCATCATTTTCAAGTGAACTAGTGTTGGAGTGATGGCGACGATGACTGTATTTCCAAGAGAAGTAAGGGACTAAAAGAGAAGAATGTAGCAGAAAGCCAACAGTGTCATCAAGCCATTGGTAGTTACTGAAGGCATGGTGGCCACATTCGTGGGCTATGACCCAAACACCACCTACGATAGTCGCTTGTAAGATCCAGTAAATAGGCCATGCAACGTAAGAGTGGTTTTGCGGGAGGATGTGGATGTAATTGGAGGCTATATAGTAGAAGATGAAGGAAATAGTTACGTCGAAAATAAGGTAAGAGAAAGAGTAGAGGATTGACCGATTAAAACAATGAGGTGGGATTGCTTTCTTGAGATCTCCAATGGTGAATGGAGGTTTTTTGTAGGGGACTCGTCGGAGGGGTTCCTCATTGAATTTTTTACTGCCTTTTTGGGGTTTTGGCATTTGATCTCCTGTACCCATTGTTCAGTGGCCTGTAAGAGAAATGACCCAGTTAAGCAATATGAACTTCAGGATGCAATACTTGTTAGTAGTGAGTGGATGGATGAACTCGTTAAATTGGAAAAAGAGTAGCATGAAGGCCAACATGTGGTTCATGTATAAAATACCTAGAATTGAACTTGAGATCTAAATTATATATTAATAGTCACATCTTTAGAGTATTTAAATTTGTCACGTCCCTAAAATAAGTTATGTCTATATTGTGTAACTAGGTTATAACCCGTGGTATAACCCGTGGCGGATGAGAAAATTAAAAATAATATTATTTATAATAATACTTAATAATTGAAGAATAAGAATAAACTTTTTAATAAGTAATAAATATAAATGTTTTATCAGTCGTGTCATAATTATATGATGTTTCGTTAAAATTACAAAAGAATAGTGGTTTTCATATCTGGTCGACAATTTGCATTTGTAGATATGTTAGGAAAATATCATTTTTGTATAATTGAATCAAAATTTAAAAAAAACATAAATTGATATAAATAATAAGATTGTACAAAGTTTTTATAAATTTCTAAAAACTTCTTTATACACAACGTTAGATGTTTTATTTGATAGTCTACCATCCTTATCTAAAATTAACAACTTTAATCTCTCTCTACTTTGAACTCTGGATAAAGCAACGTACAATTGGCCATGTGTAAAAACAGGATCCTTCAGAAACAAACCAACCTTCGATAAAGACTGTCATTGACTCTTATTAATTGTCATTGCAAAACATACAGCCAATGGAAACTGTCTTCTTTGAAATTTGAACGGGATCTTGTTTTCAGTAGGAGTTAGAGACATTCTTGGAATAAAAGTCCGGTTTCCAATATTACTTCCAGATATGATAACTGCCTCAATAACATGTTTTCCCAAAAATTTGACTTGTAGTCTAGTGCCATTGCATAAGTCATTTTTCTGATCAATGTTTCTCAATAACATAACTGGAACACCGACTCTTAAAATGAGATTATGGTTGGGCACACCTGAGACTTTAAGACCATTTAAAACATCAGGTGAGTATAAATTTTCATCAAACTGATCATGAACAAACTCAGACTGGCAGAGGCTATCCGAACTTAAATATTCTTTTTGCTCTCCTGGAATCAATTTTAGCAACCGATCATTTATTTCTTCAACAACTTCATTCTTGGGAGCAAGTATTGGTCTTTCTTGAAAATAACCCGCAATGTTGAAGTTTTCAAGAATCGAAGGATATACAAAATTGATTAATGAACCTATAGGATCACATGGATCTTTAATGAGAATATCTTTTGGAATATCAACAATTGCTTCACCATCATTCGGACCACCAACATTACCTTCTCCTATGTCCAAAAGCCAGTTTGAAAACCCCCTTATTCGATCAACAGCAGATGAATCGCTTCCAACAGTTAACCTCATGTTTTTTTGTTAATTTATGGACTTTGCATTGTTGCCATAAAAACGAAAGCGTTGACAATGTTTTGTCTACTGCCACCCGGAACAACAGGTAAAATTTGTCTGAAATCACCTCCAAAAAAAACCACTTTCCCTCCGAATGGAATATTTGAGTTTGTAGGATCGACAAATCATAATATATCCTTCAAAGTTCGATCTAAAGCTTCAAATGCATGCTTGTGTACCATGGGTGCTTCATCCCAAATGATCAATGAGGCTTTTCTTACTAAACTCGCAAGATCACTCTTTGAATTTATTCTACAAAAAGAATCCTCGGTAAGATTTATTGGAATTATAAATCGAGAGTGTGATGTCCTGCCTCCAGTCAATAATAATGAAGCGATCCCACTTGAAGCAACGTTTAAAACAATCTCTCCTTGGCATCTAATTGCTGCAGAAATTGTCTTCCAGAGAAATGTCTTACCCGTTCCACCATAACCATAAATAAAGAATACACATCCCTTATTATTTTTAACCTTAACCATTATATCAAGAAAAATGTTGCGTTGCTCGTCGGTTAATGAAACAAAGAGCCGATCAAAATCATTCTTCAAATTTGGTATGTCATAATCTAGCTCCTCGGCTATCAAACGATTGTTTGAAGATGAAACCAAATCAGCATCTGGGTAAGGCATCCTTTTATAGTTCTTGAGACTGGAATTGTTTCGGAGTAAAATTTGTTTTATCTCAAACAAAGTCAAGTTTTTAATTTGATCTTCATTTAGTGATAAACCTGTACGAACAATACTATAATAGTTACAACATATTAAAAAAGAGATTAAGTGGGACGTAAAATGTAATTGAGTGCATATTGGAAATTTATATGATATCGTTTTAATAATAATGTAATAAACATATAATACCTGGAGACTTAATCTCTTTTGTTGAGTATAAAGAATTCCATCTGACGGGTATTCCCATGTGTTTTCCCACACAATCTCTGGTTTACACAAACTGCTGGACAATAACATCGTAGCAAATAAGAAACGCAAATAAAAACCAGATCCAGAAAGACTTGCTTCCTTAATTGCTTCGATGTATTCTTTGTCATCATCCAAAAGGCCCAGATTATAGCATGCATCTTTAAAAGAAGAACAAATTTCACCATTGACCTTGCGAATTTCTTCGAAGGATTTTGGACCTTTCACTTTATTTAAAAGAATTCTTAAAAAATATGCTTCGCCAAGCTTAGGTGAAATGGAGTGAATTCTACCAATAGAAAATCCAACTTCCCTTGGCTTCCAAGTTTGAAGTTTAGGTTTCCAAACAAACTTGGTAGGAAATTCAAAATATGTAAGTTTTCGTGCTTCTTTATTGATCTCATTACACTTCATCCAAGATATGAACATTGAAGAAGCAACTGAAGGCCGGTCAAGAACATCTTCTCGTCTGCCTCATATACAACTTGTTGTTGGCCAGGCAAATGAAAAGGTACTCTAATCACAGCAGGATGCCTATAATGAACATCATATTTAAAAATTCTCCATGATGCTTCACATATATATATATATATATATATATATATATATATATATATATATATATCTACAATCATAGTATTCTTTGATTTCATCCACTACATCGTTGTTCTCAGAATCATTATTGCTTTGCACCATAGCAACAGTCGCTCTATCAGGACTCTTGTTTATATATTTAAATAAATATTATATAGAAGATCCTTGATTGCACCATTCAACATTAATGTGTGCCTGATATCTTTTTAACAAATATTTGTTGTATGGAACAACATTTCTGTTATCTAACTGAACACTAGATTTTTCAACAAAATTTCCATCATTTCTTCTCTTATATAAAGGAAAACCATCTGAATCAACTGAAGTATGATTACAGAATTGCTTTGGAAAGTTTTTAGAACACGTTCTGTCCACCATGCATGGGCAATTGAATTTTTCAGCTCCACATGGACCGTGAATCATGAACTCCTTGACAAGTGAATACAATTCTAGATCTTCATCAATATTTGGAATCTCAGCAGAAATAATTGGATCGATATATTCAACTGTAGGAAGCTTGCATTCAGAATGCATAAACAGACATATATGACTATGAGGCAGACCTCTTTTTTGAAATTCGATTGTGTAAACCACTGCAAATAAAAATATACAAATAGGATAGAAGTTAGCAACTAAGGAAGATATATATATATATATATATATATATATATATATATATATATATATATTAAAGTATAATTTCAAATACCTGCTTGAAGCTTGCCAAAAATTTTATTTTCCCTTAAATCTTTAATAAATGCATCCAACTTAATCTTAAATAACCTACATAATATATACGGTCTATCTTCATGATGAAGTGGAGTGTCCTTAAGAAACCTTTGAACTTCTGGCCATTTTGGATTACACGTAAAGGTTATGAAAAAATCTGGATATCCAAACCATTTACATAGCAACATGACATCCAAATAGTTTTGCATCATATAACGTGCACCACCGGTAAATGAAGAAGGTAAAATCACACGTTGACCAACATTCGAAATATCTGTACTACCACGTGCTTGGTGATTACGCAGATTCTCATAAGACTCACATCTACTAATTTTTTGTTGCTTACGTATGAAAAATAATCGCTCGCTTTCAATCATTGTATAACCATCAACCAAAAATTGTTGAAACAACCTTTTTGCATTAACAAGTAGTGCGAACGATTGATCTCTATCTTGAATTCTGTAAGAAAAAAATTCTCTCATTGTACAGGTTGGGCGCTTGCTGTTACTTGAAGATGTAATACCTCTATGAAGGATGTCAACTCTATAACCATCATCGCCATATGGAAATAGTAATGGATACTGAAGAGCAAGGTAAGAAGGATGTAATTCACTGATACACTTTAGTAATCCTGATGAGGTTTCAACAATGATGTCTATTTTTTCAATTGAATTACAAATGTCACCGACAACTAAAACAGCTACCTCAGAAGAAGTTGGTAAGTTATATGTCCTTCCATCTTGTTCTCTTTTTCCGATTAATCTTAACTTCAAGTTAGCACCATGATTTTCATGAAGACTGTCTCTTACCATCCTATAAGACTTGACCAACGCATTGTTTGAATGTAACATAACCTTCAAAAATTCTATAATCTGGAGATCATATAATCTTGAAGTTGATGTAGAACCGCTCGTTGGTCCACTAAAAATATTAAAAAAAAATTATTAATGTTAGTAAAGAAAATAATGAATTGAAACGGTTTATTAAAATTATTGTAAAAATATACCCAATACTTGTCGATCTATTTGAAATCTTGTTCTCCGTATCATATGTAACACTAGTCAAAATAGGTCAATAGACAATCACATGTGATTATGCTAATCATGTAATGTGATTTTGTTAAACTAGTAATGTGATAAACGTGCTATGTATTTCATGATAAATTCTAACACAAATATGAACTTTCTTTATGATGCAACTCAAAGTATACGTCCATACGGTTCCAAAAATATAGAGAACGCCTGAATCTGACTTCGCATGAAGAAGTTA